GATGTGTAGCCTGTTGAGAACTTAAATGGCGTGGAAGAGCTTAAAAATTTAAAATACAAACAAAACCTTGACTAAGGTTCAAAAGTATATATATATATGTATCTTCTTTTCAATATAACATTTTAAGTTAAACTGTATTCATAAAAAGCAATAAAGCCGTTTTTAGATTAGCTATTTTTGGTCATTTCACTAGTAAGTAAAATAATGAAGTCCCATGAAAGAATCATTTGTTCTTTTGTTAACTTCATCACTTGTTGAATCATAACTTGTTGAATCATTTGCTGTAGACACTAGGTAAGTATCAGCTGCAGCTGATGTTTGCTTATCGACAGGTTAAGCATAGTTGCTTGTATGAATCAGCTGTACAATAATAGTGAAGTTGGGCTAATCGACTCATTTCAAAGATTAGCTGGCTACTTTAAAGATTACGTAATTTAATATAACATGAATATTTACAATACTTAAGTTAATTTTTTTATCCAAGAATAACTGAAAAAAAAGAATTATATACGTTAATTTTTTATATAATTCGAAACTATATACGTACATGATAAAGTTGATTATTCACATCCATCAATTTAACTTAAAAGTACTTAAAATTATTCTTTACTAAGCAATGTATAAGTTCCCAACCAATGTAATAATTGTAAAGGAGCCTCACGATATCATTTTTAGTCAAATATGTGAGAGCTTAAGAAAATAAACAGTCCAAAGCAGCAATTTGCCCGGAAGGGCTATTAATTTCGTTTTGGCATTTTGCGTTGATTCAGTAATAAACGGCGGATTACTTTTTAACTTATTGCCGCAAAATATTAAAGCCCTGTATTAAATTTAAAGCAATCAAATAATAAAGAATATGCATAAGCGTATGTACGTTTCTCGCATTGTGGTAAAGCAAAGGTACCAAGAGCCATCAAATTTTGAATAACGTACGTCTCCACCCGAACATGGGCATTTGGAATTTGTTTTATTATCTATTTCATATATTGTGAAGCATTTATGAGTTTTCGATCAAGAAACTCAACGATTTCAAAGCGAGCAATGACAACACTGTACCGGGAAAAAAAAAAAAATTTTAATTCCCAGCGCGTGAAACTGTGTATCGGAAATTCTAAAGGTATGCTCTTTTAAATATTTTGTGATATTGCTGTTGAATTGAATTTTATGGTTTAAGTGCAAAGAACATGATAATTAATAAATAAAGATAACACACAAAACGTTAAAAAAACGCCCCCTTTGGGCGTAATATAAAATTTGAAAGCTTCATTTTTTTTTCAGTGCATTTTACCAAATTAATCCTTTGCTTTAATATATTTAAACTTTAAAATATTTTACTTCATTACAAAATAAAATTAAAAATCAGTACCTTATCTGGTTTCATTTATATGGTAAATATATAGTCACGAACCCCCTCCCCCCCCTTTTTTTTTTTTTTGTTTGTTTCATTTTGTATTTCACATTCTTTATCTGATTTTAAACTTTTTTTTAAAATTTTTTTTTAATTCCTTACCAGTGGTTATCGCTTAGATTGTAGCATCATGTAATATTACTTTCTGATCGCTTAATATTCTCATAATAAATTTTAAAAAGTCAAAAACTATAACAGCTAGAAAATTAGTGCAATTAATTTTGTTTATTGGAACTACAGAAATGTACGGCCTTTTTCTCTGATTTTCATCAGTCTGTTAAGGAAGATAGTATATAAGCTCAAGTTGGAATTAATTTTAGAAAATGCTCTGTGCTTTTCCAATCAGACACCATCTCTCTTCTTGAAGCAGTAAAATTATTCTACTTCTCTTTTGCCAAAATTTCTCGTTTAAACAAGCATAATCATTAATGCCTAAATTTTTAATTTCACCTCTTATTTTGCAAAAACGTTTAAAAATTCTCTTTCTTCTTGTTTTGTGTTTTCTTTTTATTTTACGTTTCTTCAATTTTATTCAAAATATGATGTCTTATTTATTATGCTATTTTAAATATTCTTTTTCATTTAATAATACAGTAGAACCTCGGATCACCAACGACTCACTTCATGAATAACTCGGTTCTCAAACCAGTTATCTGAACGAAAATCGGCACGGGTGACAAAAGGTGTCTTGAGTTACGAACACCCAGTCGGTAATATATGATTTTCAAAGGTATTTTGTGGTAACTTATGCCGCATAATTAACACTCAGGGAATTCAAGAAACATATTTTGGTAACTTCCATTATTTAATTCTCATTAACAAAGCCTGGCAACATACAACTTACAGGATCATAAATTTAGCTTGGGCAAAATTATGATCAGATTGGATTGTAGGCAGAGACTTTAAGGCTTAATACTTTTAGGACTTTTTCATTTTTAGTCCAAAGGGGCTTTTTCCCTGAAGGACTATTGTTTTCGTTTTGCGATATTGCGTTGAAACACTATAAACGGCGAATCCTTTTTCAAACTGTTGCCACCAAATGTTAGAGTCCTGCATTATATTTGAAGAAATTAAATAATGAAAAATCTACATAAATGTATGTATATTTCTCGCATTGTGATAAAACAACGGTACACAGAGCCATCGAATTTTGAATGACGTAATCCTCCTACAAATATGGGCATGGGGAAGATCAAATTTGAAATTTGTTTTATTATCAATTTCACATTTTGTAAAATTTTAAATACTTTTTAAGTAACAAACTGAAAGATTTAAAAGCGAGCAATGGCAACACTCTACCGGGGGGGGGACACTTTTTATCTCCAGCGCGAGGAAATGTGTAACCGAAAATTCTAAAGATATGCTTCTTTTAAAATAATATTGCGACATTGCTATTGAACTGAGTGTTATGGTTTAAGTGGAAAGAACATGATATTTAATAAATAAAGGTAACACACAAAACGTTAAAAAAACGCCCGTTTGGACGTAATTTAAAATCTGAAACCTTCCAGACTTTTTTTTTTATGTTATCTCTTATTTTTGTCTCTCTAGACAAACACATAGGCTAAAACGTTAACAACTAACATATGGAGAAGTTCTTTGAGAATAACAAAAATAAGTTCAACAAAAAAGAACTACGACCTCTTCAGCAGCAGCAACAGAAGAGCGATTGTGGAAGAAATGTCTTCAGAATATGAGGAAGAGAGAAAAATTATTCTAATTCTCTAATCCGCGAATTTTATGCAAAACGGGGTCAGACACAAAGTTTTCACATAATGATATCACCCTGATAAAGCAGCAGCAAGCTACAGCATAAGCATTTTCAAGGAAAATAGACTCCTTATATAAAAACATTTTCAAAACATAAGTAGTGAAATAATCACTACAGATTTTGATTGAAACAGAGGCCTAGTGTGTCCGAAGCGGAATCGAGTGCCGCTTAGAGACAGAGAAAGTGTAAAAGAAGATTCTATCCAAAGCCTAATGTTTCTACAGAAAGAAGTTTCACATCCAAACAATCACATCATTCTCGTCCTTTTCTTACTTATGCCATCCATATCCTTTCTATAGGTACAATGAAATTCAATTAAGTTTTTGTCCATTCTGTTTGTTTAATATTGTATTTATCTTTTTGTTTTATATAAAGTGACTTCGATTTGTTTTGGCCCATGAACTTGTGCACAAAGTGCTATTGTAAAGTTTAAATAAGCAATTGTCTGTAGTCCAGAAACAAATTAACCGATTTACTTTAATTCCTATGAGAAAAAAATATTTCGGCTTACGAACATTTCTGTTGACGAATAACCTTCAGAAACGAGTTAAATTCTTGAGCTGTATTTATTTTAAAGATAAATTTCAGGGACAATACTTTGTCCTTTAAAAACCAAAGCCGGTTTCGGATACTCTTAAAATGTGTAGAATATTTCTCTAAAATTTATGTAGACCAAAATTTGAATTTTGCAATGATATTAAACTTGACATGATTTCTTATTTCTACTTTTACACAAATTTTTAGTATCATAAACTTACACTATGAACAGTTGCTATTATTAAACATAAACTATTTTTATACAGGTAACATTTATAAACATAAAAGAAGCTTACAGTAGGTAGGGTGTGACTTTCACTAAATGTATTTAAGGTATTTATTATTTTCTTCTTTATAAAACTTTAAGACCGAGAATTTTAATTTGCGAATACTAGTATGATACAGTTATTTAATTACACTTAAAATGAAAATAGGTTCACCAGTACGAATAAAACCACAGAAAAGAATGGATGGAAAAGATATGAAATATTATAATAGTTTTGTAAACTGTATCTTTCTAGACAGATGTGAAGAACTCTTTCTTTATTTTTTTAATTTGTAATATTTCTGATTTCGCAGAGTATGATGGCTGAGTTTTTAAATTGCATTTAAAATTTTGTTATTTTTCTTATCTGAGTGCTATCTATTTAGAAAATAATTTTTTCGAAATAAAAATATCCTATAAAGAAATAGTCCTATTTATAGAAATTATTTTAAAACTGCTACTCGGCATTATATACAAGTTTGAGAAGTAAAAATTAAACATGCTTAGGAAAAGAATCTTGAAATTTTTGTTGGTTTTAGATCCAGTTTTATAATTAGGATTACAAAGTAATTTTGATAGAATATTCGATATTGAACAGAAGTCTATATATAATTCTGGTTATTATTGTTACCAAATATTATTGACAACAGAAAAGAAAATCAGTTCTTCTATTGATAAAAATTATTTTACATGATTATTTGGTAACAATAAAGTTAGTTTCAGTAAATTGAAATAATAGTTCAGTTTTATTTAATACTTGATAAGGAATAAAAATGACTATGAAATAAAATGTGGTTTCAGATTTCTGCTCAGCTAAAATTTGATTACGTTTCAATAATAATAATAATAATAAGTCATTTAGTACTAATATCTACTAATCTTTAACAGTAAATAAAACACTCGCATCAAAATTACTTAAGTGTTTACTTTCTGTCCACATGTACAAAAAAAAAAAAAAAAAAAAAAAAATATATGATATATTATATTCATTATACGGATCCATAATCCATTAAACTATTTTATGGTATAACTGCAATTTCTTGTACCGTATTAAATAATGAAAAATAAATTACTCTACAAAAACGGCTTACTTTTGACATGGTTTCTTCGTCAACTTCCGGTTCAGGTTCCGCCCAGTCTACCGCAACGTCATGCCCCCAGAGCTGAATTTTCCCAGGTAGTAACTTTCGCCTTGCCATTGCAGCTGCCTTATGACTCTCATATTCCACGAAAGCGAAACCTCTGTTTTTTGTCTTGTCTGGGATACTACTGTACAAAATGACCTTGCACACAGAATCTGTCACTTTTCTCATTTCTTCGAGGATCTCTTCTTTCGTTTTAGATTTTGGAATTCCACCGACGAACAAACGGCAGTTGTCCACCGACTTACATACTCCGACGGTTCGACCTTTGCGAATCTCATAGTTATCCAACAGCTCGATAGCCTTCTTGGCCTCTTCGGGGCTAGTGTACATGACGAAAGCGAAACCCCTATTAGCGGTATTGGATTCCATCATCAACCTCATTTCATATATCTTCCCTGCTTTCTCGAAAAGAGGGACCAGTTCATCCTCCAGAGCATCTCGGGGAATTTTCCCAACAAATACTTCACTGCCTTTGGGAGGCGGAGGACCTACAGAATCTTTTGGAGGTCCGTATTTCCTTTGTCCATTTTCAGTGGTGATCTCGTAACCCGTCGTTTCAAGGAGCTTGTTGACGGCCTCTTCCTTATTGGAACTACCCGCATTTTCTTGGGTCATGTCTGGAGGCGTGCTGTTTCCGTTTTCTGCTGACCACGCTACAGCTCAAACGAGAGGGGAGTGAGTGCCGGGAAGCATCTGATTTTCGAACGTAGAGGCGTGTAGGGACTTTGAACTGCAACTACAGCGATAAGAAAACAACAGATAAAGACTTCGCCGTACAATAGTTGTCATTTCGAGTGCTGAGTTATCACAACGACAGCTAGAGAACGACATATCTCATTGAATATCGAACAATTTTTCCCTTTTTCGTTTCCCACAAGAGCGCAACTGAGAATGTTCTTACAAAAATACGCTGGAAAGATTAAAATGTAACTCACGAAGTGATGAAGTATATGTAAATCTCGAAAATTATTTTTTTAGTTTTTTGAATGTTTATTTCCGAAGATTTAAGTCATACATAGGAAATTTAAGTGAAAAGTGATGTTTGGATTTTACGTGATTCATAATGTGACTATATTAACCATGATATTGGTACATTATTTTACAATAAAATAATGTGCAATATTAATACACGTAATTATAAGATAAATTCACTACATCAATCGTTCATAGGTAAAATACATAAGTTCGATATTCCACGTTTTATGAGCCTTTTCAAATCGGCGTTGGCTCCGACGAAGTTGGTAGCGTTATCCGAATATGTACTTTTGAGCTAAGGCGAGGTTCATTTGCGGAAAATCTTTTTTATTTATCTTTTGCGGAAAATCTTTTTTCATTTGCGAGGGTTCATTTGCGGTCACAGGCATTATGTTCAGAAATTCTAAAACATTTTACCGGCAAATTCCAATAGTTCATATCCTATCTATTATAATACTGAAGTTATTTTGAGAATGAACATCGAAAAAACTGCAAAGTAAATTATTACGAAAACCCGAAGCTTGTCCTTGAAATAAAATAAAAATACTCGTATAATTATCCATTCCGAATTTTAACATAATACTCAAAGTTAGTTTATAATACAAAATATTAAATGTGATAATTAATTTTATCTTTCGAATAGTTAGAGAAGCATTTTTGCTCGTGTATATGAACGTATTTGCAAAATACCTAATTGCTATATTTGATCAAACTTCACATACCTTCAAGTTCTAATCCTAAATGCTGATACCAAAATAAATGGGCCTATTTAGAAGATGAAGTGAATTAGAACCCAAACCAGTTTGTTTTTGTATTAGATTCAACCTCCTGAAGCCTTCGTGCTTCACTATCACTACTTACTATTATTATTACATCATTCTTGTCATTTTCCTACTTAATTCAAAAGAATTTCAGGCATCTTTAAGGCCTGAAAGTCTATGTCCAGCTCTCTGCTAATTGCTTTACGGTTTCTCCGAGCCAAAGTGACAGAAAATGGTGTTCGGATGTAGTTGTTGCTCTTGGTGGCATTTGACCAAGTTGGCTACTAACTGATCCACTGCATAAAATACGCTACAAGTTCTTGGCGTGACCCTTTGAGGAATATTTAGATCATGAGAGACCTCCGTTAGTGTTTATCCCCATCCTTCTACAAATTAATCACCACTTTCATTTTTCTATTTAATGATATTTTTCAGATATAACTTAATGATATTTTCCAGATATAACTTGGTTTTGGTTTGGTTTATTTAATTATGGCAAAGCACACTAAGGCTATCTGCCTAAGGGGAGAAAAGCCTTCGTGGAGACTTCTAAGGCAAATGACTCTTAAACGTTACACATGGGGAAACCACGAACTCCATGCAGTCAGCCCGTTCGCGGGATTCGACCTCGCACCGAACTACCAGTATTTGCGGTTACCACTGGCGTGGTGTGCCTCAATATAACTATGATACTTACATTTCCAGAAACGCATTAACTTAAACAACGTTAAATATGGTTTTCAATTCCGCAAATAGTGTGTGTTTGATTAGCTACTAATAAGAAACCAATTTTCTTTTAAATCCATCTTTTATTTTATTCGAAAATTAACCGCTCAATGACTCAAAATTTCAAAAATCCAAGCAACAAATTTCTCATCGAACAAGCTAATAAAAAGAATTACAAAAACAAACGCTATCGACACATGCGCGGTACAAGATTTGTTGCTAGATAACGACGGTAGAGAGGAGAAAAGTTTCGTACAGCAGACATTCAGGCGCCAGCATCCCGCCCGGCGTTGAAATACTAATTTCAAAACTGATATAAATTATTTAAGAAATTCAAAGTTTGATACATAAATATGTTAGAGACAATTAAATACAATAATATATCTTTTAAGCAAATAACAAACAAATTACTACATTTTACAATAAAATAATGTGCAATATTAATACACGTAATTATAAGATAAATTCACTACATCAATCGTTCATAGGTAAAATACATAAGTTCGATATTCCACGTTTTATGAGCCTTTTCAAATCGGCGTTGGCTCCGACAAAGTTGGTAGCGTTATCCGAATATGTACTTTTGAGCTAAGGCAGCGTCGCGCGAAAAATCTTTTTTATGTTGCAATTACAGCCTGCTATGTTAGATCTGTAACAAAATCGAGATGTATCGTTCGAATAACTAAACATACAAAAATTACAATATATATCTTATTTAAGGTACCTCTTAGTTGATTTTTATATTTTATGTAAAAGGGTCCGCATAAATCAATTCCAGTTGCGGAAAAAGGGGGACTCACAGAAATTCCCAACAAAGGCTTTGAGTTGTTGAGCTATTTTAGGTTTATTTTTAAAACAGATAATGCAGTTATGTACCTTTTACGAGCAGTGTTTCTGCCGTTTAGTGGCCAAAATTCCTGTCAAACAC